CCACATGTGGACTTTCTTTTTCCCAGACACAACAAGAGAAAGAAAGTCAGAGTTTCTCACACAGAGAAGTGTTTACAAAACAGCTTCACATAAAACTGACCATGAGAAACATGTGTCTGCTCTCCCTCCACCAAAGAGGAAACAACAAAAGGTCAAAGCAGATCAGATTTCAACAGTCTGGTAGAAGCAGGCGGTCATTCAAAGGTGAGTCGTTCCGTCTTTGTCTCAGTCTGATTCTTGATCCCGCTGTAAACATTGAACAAAGTCTGTATTTTTTTGCCTAAGCCCCAAAAAAGAAGGATTTTCCACCTCCACCTTTGTGACTGCACTCATTTACATTTCGTCTCCACATCTGCTCTGTGGAACTCAGACTTCTCCTCCAGTCAATTAGAGCGCCTTTTTAATTCTGCCGCTCCGACAAACAGCTTTTCTTCAGCTTGTCTCATTAGCTCTCAGAACTTCTCATCTTCCTCCCGTCTTCTTCCCCGTAACACCGCTGACATTATCGCAGGACGCACTGACACCGAAGACAGGGGACGACAGCGACAAGTGTGGCAGCAGTGCACGGAAGGATTTTGTCTAAATGAGCTGCCATACCATGTGAATTCTCCTCCACCTGTGAGGCACCAGTCACCAAAGACGTCGCTGTACAGAACTCACAACTCCTTATTTTTCCGACTATTGATTTCCTCTCTGATCCATTCACAGTGCTTCGCAGCAACAAGGTCTGGTGAAACCTGGAAACAGCAGGAGGATTCTTCCTGCACTCAACTTCTAGAAGACCGCTGGCTCAGTGTGAAGTTTTTGGCAGCCTAAAGTGGTTCTACAGAGAGGCCTTCCATGATTAGTTACAGGACCAATCAGCTTCCAGGATTCATTCCAGGCCACATATGTCACACAATGGTTGGTCGACAGGATTATTTTTTACATTACTATAGGCTGTCGTTTCTTAAAAGCTTACTGTTATACAAGCTGTCATTTCACAGCTGTGACTGAAGACTGTCAGACCAGGCCAGTTTGTGGATCCACAGTCAGAATGTTAGGGTTGTCTCCCAGTTTGTCAGTGTCAATGTTGAGCTGTGCTATGTTTTTATTTTTAATGATATGTAAATGATAAAAAGGAAATAGGAATAAATATTGTTTTGGATTATTATTAAGCAGTAATCAGTATTAACCATAACAATAGTCATCATAACAATAGCATCTGTTGTTATTGTGATGATTATTATTTTCCTGGTACTACCACTAATAAAAATAGTATTCTTCAGTTACTGTTATTTTTAGTTATTATTTTGTTACAATTAGTAATACGGCAATACTACTACAAATAAAAATACTAAGAGTTAATTACTTATAATTACTATTATTAATCTGAATATCGATACTCACAAAATACTAATGATGATAAAATAAGAATACTAATATCTTTATTATATGTAAGGAGTAGTAGTATTTTTGACAATAGTAGAACTATTCCTACTACTACTAATACTAATCATAATAATGATTATGATTATATTATTAGAATTATTATTGATATATTAATAGTAGAATTATATATTGTCTATTACTACTAGTAATACATTTTTTTTAAGATTATAATACATTAATATTTATATTAATGTTGTTGTTGTTGGAAACGCTGCCTACTGTACACAAGTGATTCAAACCAAGGACCCATCGTCCAGTCTATCTGCAGTTTGGCGAGGAGTCATCAGAGACCAGCTGTACTGGACCTGATGGAACCCTGAGTCCAATGCTGGAACATTTTTTTCCAGGACCAATTTGTTTTCCAGGCCTGGGATCCACTTAAATGTCACACATTTCAGCATGTAATCAGGTGCGCACACCTGCAGCCACACACACCCACACTGAGGCGCTAACAACCACCAACTTTCACACAATCACTTACAGTCACTCCATCACAGACACTGGCCTGACCTTCTCACCATCACCCTCCCTCACGTGTGTCAACCCGTGGGAAAGTAGCAGTGTGAGATCCGTGGAGCGACCTTGTCTCCTCTGGCCTACATTATCACAAGTGTGCCACAGAGAGGCTCCACTAATGCACATTAATCCTCCCACACAATGACCCCAATCCCTTACGTCCATCAACGGCTGATGCTCCAGATTAGATATTCTACTGCGATGATACCGAAGTACTCCACTGCTGCATTTCTTGTACTGTGTAAGACAAGTACACAGTTGTATATTGCTGAATGCTATTCTGTATTTCCACAGACCACGTTCTGTCACGTTCTACTTCTAAACAAAAGACTGATGCCTTTCTGAAAAGACTTTGCTCTCCTTCATTGTTTCTAAACTTTTTATTCCTGAAATCCACATCCTGTAAGATATGACAGGCCCCGAAATCGAAAGCTGCTGGATCTCCACGAGACAGCTTTAAATCACTGTTTATTTTCAGACAGGTTTGTTTACTTCTCTCAACAGAGTTGGGCTGATAAATCACCCAGTGAAGTAAAAAAAAAAAAAAGAGTTTATACAAGAACACGGGGGCTGCAGGTGGAAAGCTGGAGGAAAAGTTATTAGAATTTGCCGTTATCTACGTTTAAATCCGCCCTATAGCGTAGTGCAGTGGGTAGAGATGATGTGTGTACCGACGTGTCAGGCTCTGGAGCATCAGATTATCTATAGAGTTTCTTTAAGCCTGGGATCCTGTGTATGCAACACAGCTTCCTGAATGTAATTTAAGTGGAGCTGTGGTCACTGTGGAGACAGAAGAAGAAGGTTTGGGGGGGAAACAAAAAAAACCAAAACAAATGGCTCCAGAGATATCATTTGCCAACATTCACCATTGATAAAATACCTGCTCTTTGGGGATGCTGTCAAAATACACAAAACAAGGATTACTTTCTCTGCCCCCCTCCCTCCCTCACTCCCCCCTTTTTATCACGCCCTTTGTAGAGAGTTATTTTGTAAAACTGCAGCACAGAACTAAAGGCAGACACCTTCAAAGTACAGCTGTCACAGTGACATTTTATTGAATGATGATGTCAGCCCTGGTGATTATACGTACGTGATTAAATCCAACCGCTCCGTGGCACGGCTTCAGCCTTTAATCCCGACCGTTCACTGTGAGTGATTCTTTATTATTCGCAGTGAATTAAAAATGAATTTTAAAAAAACTATGAAAAAAAACTGTATTTCTTTGACTTTTATTAATAGGATTAGACGGGAAATGCACATCACATTTTGGCAGAGTAATGACACAGAAGAGGCGACATCAACAGTTTCCATCAACACGGGAGAGAATGTACACTTAAATATGCCGCAGCACAGACCAAGATTAGACACTCCTTATAAATTATGGAGCCCTTTGAGGAGCTGAAAGCCCAGGGTAACTTGTTAGAAAAAATGTCACAAACCAATTCAGAGTACATTTGCATACCTTGGATTGGTTTAAGTATCCAGTGAAACCTACAAAGACAGATTGCTCAAAGTATTTGATGAATGTTGCATATTCTCCTACAAATATCAAGGTATTCTCGGGAGGACTACTGGAGGGGAGGAAAGTACAAAGGCTGGGAAAAAAGAATAGATTTACTCTGAAGAAATATTCCCCTGTGTATTCTGCATTTATCCTGACAACCAGCGATATTTGGACAAAGGTAACAGGAAATGAAAACGAATTTGTTCGGAGTTGTTGAAATATAGAAGTAATGATACTATAGATACACTGTACGGTATGTATTTGTACAGGATCCTTCAGAATAAACCATTTTATCTGTGATATACAGGAGGCTCTAACCGCGGGGTTTTTCTTACTCTCTGGGTAAAATATGACAAAACTTTACGTCTTTATTTGAGTTTAGTCAGAATTCAAATATCACAGCAGTATCTCAAATCCGACCAAGCAATCCCAAGTAGTGACGGCTCCCTCTACCTCTGCCGCACTTTGGTCACATTCCAAAACACATCAGGTGCCAGGTCTACAGTAGGAGGACTCCATCAGTTTCTACAATCTACTGGAGGAAAAATATATACATTTCCCATGTAAGTGACAGGTGACAGGTTGTTGGAAAAGCTGTGGCAGGTGAAATACTGCAAAATAAGGTTTATGAACTGGGTGTAGTACACAAGTAAAGTACATGTGAATGGCCGGTTTAGGCCCGTTTTTTATAATCACTAAGTTAGAAAACATTGTTTTATGAGGAACTGGTTCATGTTGCATTGTACTTGTCTTGATTTTTGAGCACATCTCACATTTTAGACCTCAAACAACATCTCATGAAATGTTAAATATGGATTTTCTTTTAACTGTAGTAGAGGTGGAGAGAGAGAGAGAGAGAAAGTGCTTCTTAGACTATAACAATAATAAGAAAACAGCCACTTTAATGTTGGTTATCATTAAAAAAAGATTGAACTGTATTTACAGACTTCAAATGTAATCATTAATGTATGTTGTCTATGTTTAATTTAGTCGATAAAATAGTTGTTGAATGTTAAATACTGTAAATGCCATTAGAATTTAATAATAATTCTTTTGATTATTTGTCAGACATCTAACAATTTTATGGTCATAATTTTCCTTGTAAAGAAAATATTTTAATAACTTGGGTATATAAAAAGACACGTCTAACTACACGGACATTAACAGTGAGGATCGTTAATAGACACATAGAAAACGCTTGCAGCTAAAAGTGACCAAAAAACATTTGTTAAAAAGTCGATGACACAAAAAAGTAAAAATTAGAAAAGAGAATATAAATATAATGATTTTTTCAGAATGTAGAGCTCTAATATTTTAAAGTAGTGATTGCCTCGCATTTTTAAATATTCTGTATATACTCCTTTAATTAAACTTCAAATATTTTTTTAATACTTACAAATTATATATATATATATATATTTATACCTTTTATATAAACTTATACCTCTGTTAACTCACTACGAGGGTCCCACTGGTTTGACTACAGGCCAGGGCATGTCCGGCAAAGGCGTCTGAG